TCTCCTGCCTGTTGATTTTCTTAACCTCTACCTATTCTCTCCGTTCTGTTTCCGGTTCCTGTTTATCTGTTCCCAAATCCAACAAACTTGCTAAAATCTTTCTCTTCCTCTGCTCCAAAACTGTGGAACAATCTTCCTATTTTCATCCGAAATGCTTGTAGTACTGAAGTCTTCAAAAAACTCTTAAAAGCTCATTTATTTCCTAAATAATCCTCTTCCAGCAATAAACCTTTTCTAAGCGCCTTGTATCCTTTGGCAAAAGGCGCTATATAAATTTCTATATTATTATTATTATTATATGAAATTTTTGCTCCCGCGTTTAAAAAAGTCTGGATCCTCCCTCTGTGGGATGGTGCCATGAAAACTTTGATACACAAATCCATTCTTTCAAATCACTTCTACGAGATTTACACTCTAGCAGATAAACACCAGCAGTTCTGACAAAATTGATGCTGCGGCATTCTAATTTTAAAACTCAGACCTTGCGTTCAATTTAGAAAATAAGTTCAATTAAATGCATTTTGCAGCTGATACCAATGTATGTTTCTTAAATTGACATTTTGACCCACAAATCCTACTCTTGAAGATGCGGTATATACAAAATATTTTAAAGCCGCTGCAGTTGAATAATTTTTTGAAAATTTTGTCAAGAATGATCCATTTGACATTTAGAGTTCAAACTAACAGCAGGGTGCAAAACACTGATTTTAGCTGAGTAAAACCATCTCAGCCTTCTTTGACTGAGACAGTTTGTGGTCTTGTGGTGCTGCAGCAGCGCTATAGCAGTGGCCTGCCTTTAGTTTGGTTCTGGTGTGTAAAAATGACCTAAAGGACTCCGAAATTAGGAGTATACCGGAGTGAAAAGAAAGGTCTACCAGTTTGCAGTTTTTGTTGAGATTTTCCATTACTTGAGACTTTTCCTTCTTGAGATCTGTAATGGACAATGTAGTAGAAACCACTAACTGAATGGTGTTATCTGCCTAAGTTGATGTTGCACATACTTTCCATAATGTCACTTTGTCCTCAGCAAACCAAAACTCTCAGATCTGATCTGATCTTCCAGTTAACAATTGCTTCGTCAACAGGGGGACTCAAGATTAGGTACTACGACATTTTTGGCATCATACTGGATCATATCCTAACACTTCTTTAACAAAACAATGCAATGGTTATTAAGACACCGTCTCATGTAAACCCTATTAAGGCTAGCAGGGACTGAATGGGATGAATACTACAACAGTCTGAACATCACCAGCAAAAAAGTTTACCTTGTTCTGAAAAATGAATTAAGAGTTGTTAGGTGCCGATGACAAAACCAGTTAAAAACATTCGACACACTGATACTGTTCCTGCAAACCTAAGATAAAATGTCCATACAATTAAGCTCGCAAACAACAAAAACAGTAAATCATGGTAGTTTAAATTTTACACCTACATCTTTCAAGAAACAAATAATTCCAGTTAATCAGGCCCGTATCCAGGGGGGTTTTATGGTTTGGGAGAACCCCCTTTCCTTTTCAAACATATCTGCTTTTATAGCATTATTATTATAGACCCATGCAGCACAAAAATCCTCTTGCTTTGGGGGTTTCGCCGACCCCACGGGCTTCGACCGTGTACCTCACGCCCAGAAACCCCCACCCCCTTGGAAAAACCTGGCTACGGGCCTGTTAATCATTATGCTACAAAAGCTCTGTTACAGCACCCCGAACCAACCAACTTAGATCGTAGACTGATGGTCCAAGCAATTACCGGTAACTTTGTACATTAAGCAGTTTGTTGAATGCCTTTTCAGAAACCAAGAGGTTGTACGGTAAACTTGGAAAAAAAGACTTGGGTTAATCTCAACAGACTTGGGTGCAGAATCTCCACCAAATTGAGAGTGTGAAGAGCCATGGAGCAAATCAGCAAACAACATAAATGAGAGGAGGTCCCTGGTTTGAAGATTAAGAGCATCAGCTGCCAAGGAATACACATCTAGATGTGTATAAGAGACAGAAATCGCATACAAATACTAAGTGTAAC